ACCCCTGATTCCCTAAACCCTAAACCCCTAAACCCCTAAACCCTAAAACCCTAGACCAAAAACCCTAAACTCTAAACCATAACATAATGACCATGACGTTGATGAGACTGAGCCCCCGGTGCAATCGCCGACCCGGGATACAGTGCACTTGCTTAAGGCTCTGCGGGGTTTGAGAAAGTAGGGAATCCTGACTTTAAAGTCTTTATAATGATTCGGATACTTCATCTTCTTTAGACACCCGAACTACGATGCCGCAAGATTTGAAAGACTCCTTTGTGCCGCTCGCTGCTTCTGAAGAGAGATTGGAGTTCGGGGTTTGGGGGCTGCGAGTGATATTGTGCTTTACCAGGGCTTTAGTGTTTATACCGCCGGTGCTGCGATAGTTTAGCCTAAGCCCTGAATCATAAAGTGTAGCCAAATTGGAACGCGAAGAGGACTTCCCCAATCTGGCAAGCTGCGGAGTGCAAAGCCATATCCTGACTGCGGCTCAATATTCGGGTTTAGGGCCCCTAAACCCTAAACCCTAAACTTGGGGTTCAAGGGAAAGGGCTTCGGGTGCTTGGCCTACCGGGGGGGGGGTTCTTGGAAACAATCAGGTCGCAGAGTTTCGGGGCCTCAAGGTTTCTGGGACTTCATGCTTTGGGGGGTTAAGGGCTTTAGGGTTTAGGGCCTTGGGTTGTAAGGGCTTTGGGGCTTAGGGTTAAGGGCTTTGGGGTTTAGGGCTTTGGGTTAGAAGCGCTGAAAGCTTAAAGCCCTGAACCCGAAGCATCTAAACCCCACGAAAACAAAAACTCAAAGGTCTATGCTGTGCGAGAATGTAACGGCTTGGGGCCTTGTGGTTCTACAGCCGAACTCGTTTGCTTGGACTTCTTTGCTTAGGGGCCGAGTACCTTAGCCCAGAAAAGGTTAACCTTTTGAATCAAAGTAGGGTTTAAGAAAGCCCCGAAAAAAACCCTAAACCCTAAACCCCCTAAGTTAGCCCTGGGTATTAAGACCCATAAGGTTAAAGCTTACCTACTCAGCCCCTACGCTTTGCGATACTACCTTGTCCTTCCATGCCTTCGGGTGCAGAATTGCCGGAAGTCGTCAGGAACCCTTTCCTGACCCTAGGCCCCCAAAACCCTAAATCAGAACCCCCCTAACAAACCCCAAACTTCAAGCTCCGAAATCTCTCAAACATTGATCCTTAGAAGCCTGATACACGCGTTTTTAAAGCTAGATCGGAACGTATCCACAAGGACCGAAGACAAAAGCTTCAAACTCCCTAAAGCTCGAAGAAAGCCCACCCAAGAACGTTCAAAAATCCCCTAATAACACACTGTGAGCCCCTCGAATCAACCCTTTCCCTTCAACGCCCCTCAATGCTTTTCCGGGGGGCTAAACCCTCAACCTTCAACCTCATGTAAGGAATAGCCCGAACAAGCCCTAAGCCCCTAAACCTCTAAATCCCGAACTAAACCTTAACAGGACCCCTAAACAGGAACCCTTAAAGGTCCACCCGAAACCCAAACCACTAAACCCTCAATGCCCTAAACCCTAAACCCAAACCGCTAAACCCTCAATGCTTTCTGGGGCACAGCCGATGGAGCGGAGACCTCGAGCCGAAACGGTCGAAGCGCAGCAGCGTTTGCATCGCCAGGGAGATGCCACCTGAGCTCAAGAGTTTCGGGTTCAAGGTAGAATTTCGAGGATTTAGGGTTTATATAAAATAGGGTTTTGGGATTTTAAGATTTGGGGTTCGGATCGCCCTCCAGGGCTTTTCTTAAACAGGTTTTGGGGTAGAGGGTTTAGGTTTAGAGTGGAGTATTCTAGGACATGTTGCAGGTGGGGTAGATTACCGTTTTTGGGAGCCTTATAGAAGGTCTACATACACCCTAAACCCTAAACCCTAAACTTCCCACCTGCAGTTTCCTTTAAAGTGTAGCTCAGGAGATACCACTTGAGATCCTGGGGTTTTCGGTATGTTCTGGGCATGGAGGATGAAGAGTTTTTGGGGTTGGTTTTCAATCTTCCGAGTTTAGGTATCAAGGATTTAGGGTAAGTAAGGGTCCCGGGTTTTATGGAATTTTTGGGGCTTGGGTCATAGGCTTTAGTGTTTACAGAAAGTATAGCCAAAGAGTTTGATCCCGGCTTTCGGAAGTTAAGGTTTTGCAGACTTTACGCTGATTGGATTTGGGATTTAGGGTGTATAAAGTTTAGGTTTTCGGGCTTGTAGAGGTTGTAACGTTTAAGATTTAAGGTTTAAGGCTTCTTGATGAGTTTAGGTGAAGAATATCGGTTTAGTGTTGCTTTGAGTGACTATCTGTTCTTTTGTGCGCTGGCATCTTTTCAGATCTTTGCATTGGCGGGAGTTGATTGTTCCTTGGAGTTGTGTGGTTAAGAAATACATCACGGGGGTTTGCGGTTTTGAGGTTGATTTCAGGGTTGACAGTTGTGTTGCCTTGGACGATCTTTGGTGTAGATTTTCGGGGCTTTGGGTTTAGACTTTGTCGTCGCCTCCCCAACTTTCGAACGCTCCAAACCCCGGAGACGCCTTTGTATTGAGGGTTTGAGGTGGAGCTGCTGCTTGCCAGAACAAGCTGACCCGCTTGATTGTAAGAGGACTCTCTCTCTCTCTCTCTCTCTTTCTCCCTCCCTCTCTATATACATACATATATATATATATGTATGCCCAAGCAGCTTACACAGCTAACTCTCTATCCTAATCCCAAGTTGGCACTTAAGCCTCCAGTCGAAACTTTGGATGCTAAACGCTGAGCCTTCCCACGAGGACCTACAGATCCACCAACCCAGGGGGACTCAAGGGTCACCTGTGGGATTATCTAAGGCTTAGAGTACCCCCAGAAATAGGGTAAAGGTTGCCTACCCTGCTACTACATCCTGCATTACCGTAAGGACCCTACACTATGGGACTTATATACTCCTTATAATGGGTAAGGCAGGATTTATATCATCAACCGTAAGGAAGCCAGCTTAGAGTCCAGGTGGCTGCTGTCATGAAACCATATGGATTGGCTGACCAACTCCTCCACGTCCCCGAGCCTCAGGGTTCTGGTGTGTTGGCTTTGGGGAAGTTTAGGGTCCTTTAACGACTTAGCTGCCCCGTACCCTGGCCCAAAAAAAGTTTAAACTTTGTCTTCTAGTAGGGGTTTAATATACCAAAAAAGTTTGAAGTTTACCTATTGGGCTCCTAAGAAGAAGGGGCTCTAGGTTTGTCTGTTCTTTGAACGCCCCTTTTTTAGGCTTGGTTCTAGGGTTCGGTGTTGAGGGTTTTCAGGATACAAGATGCTGTGTGTCAGGAAATCCAATCTCCAAACCCTCTTAAGCTTTGCATTAGATTTCACGTACTTCTCCAATATCCGAAGGGAACAACAGCTGTTTTTGTACCAATACTAGCAGATATACGTTCACCAAGACCTTCTTGTAAGATCCCAACACGATTCCATGTAGGAGCCCCTGAAACCCGAGCATTAAGGTTTAACCATCGCGTATGGAAGAGCTGAGTCCAAGTCAAAACCACCAAGTCGAGCCGCAACCGAAAAAACCAGGAACTCAGTTCCAGACAGGATGGAGCAAACCCCGAAAAATGATGGACAGTGTGCCAACTTCAGCTTCCAAATCAGGGGGCGTGAAATTCGCTGCAGCTGGAAACTCTGGTGAGTACCTCGGTTGGGAGCGTCTGTGTATAGGGGGGCTCTGGTTGAGGTTCCTTGCGAGTTTTTTTGAGAAGTTTTGGGACTTGAGGCTCTTGTAAGGTCTTTCAACAATGTATGATGTTCGCAACGCAAGCTAGGGACCATACAAGTGAGCTTTACTTGAAGGCAGTCATACATATTGTTTCGGACACGTGGATTGAGCTTCACATAGTTGCGGCAAAACAAGGGCCCTGGCAACTGGAATGTGGTTTTGGGCTTTGGGGGTATGTTATAGTACAATCCTAATAATTAAGGAGCCCTAAGCAATCATGCTATTACCAAGTCAGGCGTCTACATTATTTCCCGCACTTGCAACCGAACCTGCTGGGTCTCCTGCCTTTGGTAGCTGGTTCTTAGTAGGGAATGGAGGAATGGGTTTTTGGGACTACTCTAGGGGACCTGAAGGGACTATCATAGGGATCCATTCCCCCATTCCCTACTAAGAACCAGGGAGCTTTGGTAGCTGGCGTGGTTCTTCGAGTGGAACTGGACATCTGCATTTGCTTTGTCAACAGTGTCTGGTTCAAACCATCCTGTTGCCGCTGTGCAAAAAACCCATAGGACGTTGAGGGTCTGGACTGCAAACTTTAGACTACTTCAGCTTCTGTCTGTTGCTCCATGAATCCTTGAATGCTTCCCTCTTTTTGCTTTGAATGTTCTTCGACATGCCTCGACAGGAAGCCATGTTTAGACTTCTGCCGAAGAGTTCAAGATTGAGGTATTGACAGGCGATTGGGTTTCATGGTGCGTTGTCTTGATCCGGGGATTTCCTGAACCCTAAACCCTAAACCCCTAAACTCCAAAATCCTAAACCCCCGAACCCTAAACTCTAAACCCCAAACCCTATGTCTTATCAGACGTTGTTAAAGGCCCTCAGATTCAATGCCGATTCCAAGCCGCCAGAAGATGGCCTCGCCCTGGGCCGCAAGTTGTGCGGGCGGTGCTCCGGATCAGGTATGGCTCTCTTTTAGGGTTCAAGGTTTAGGGTTTAGGGTTTTGGGAATTTTAAGGGTCAGGGGTGAAAGTTCAGGGTTAGGGTTGGGAGTTTAGGGCCTAGGCGTGCGAGAGGTTCTGGGGACGTAGTTCAGGGTTTAGGGTCTGGGGTGTGCGACACGCTTCGTTCCCTGAGGGTTGCGGGGTTTAAGGGGCCTGTGTTCTTAGGGTTTAGGGTTTTAGGGTTTAAGGGTTTAGAGTTTAGGGGTTTAGGGTTTAGGGTTTAGTCCAGGGGCTTGTTCCGAAGGTCTTGGCTTGAAGGGTTTACTATCTTAGGTGTCGGTTTCAACAGCCCCCAACATTGTTTACAAGTAGGGGTCTGTATTAAGCAATAAATCTAGCTTTAACACAGTATGTTATAATACAATAGGTTCTCACAATGTACTCCAAAAAATTTTCTCCAATCCAATCCCAACTATGATGATGTGATTTGACACTGTATGATACAATGTGTAATATAGCATATCATATCAAATACAATTTAATCTATGCTCGAAGATAAACCATATAAAGTCGAATATACCATGGAGCCATATGCTGAAACAAGACATAAGATGTCATACTATGTTATAAGACCCTCTACCCAGACAGCGACTCTAGATTAGATGGTTCATTGGTAGAAACAAGGCCTCACGCACCTCCTTTCATGACGACGGTGAGCCCCCTTCATGGGGTTTAGGGACTTGGGTTTAGGGTTTAGGGTTGGGAATTCTTCTCTCGGATTATGGCTTGGGATGTGGGGCTTAGGGACTTTCAACGGACGGTCTCGCTGATGCCTCGTAGGCACCCCCCCACCTTGACGACGAAATGTACCCTTTAGCCTAAACCCTAAACCCTAAAAAGGGTGTAATGATCAACTACCATACTGGGATTCACCGTGTAAGGGTATATAGAAACCCCACAGCTAAGGGTCATTTGATCCTGGAGGCACACCCCCACATCGTTGCTGTTCGAATGAAAATGTTCAACTTCACTGTAAAAAATCTAAAAAATATAACCACCGCCCCCCTAAATTTGGGACCCCCGTAGTGGTCTCTATGGTAGAGTATCGTACAATACTACGGTACAGTTTCGTATGTTGTAGTGTATGATAGCATATTACACGAGCGAACAATGGGACGTCGAAATCTACCTACCCTGATCCCACCATTTGAAGACTCTGGCGCAGCGACTGAAGGAGAGTAATGTAAGGGCCTGAATAATTAGAATAGGGCTTTGCTGAATATAGTTATAGTATAATTGTATAATATACCCCAAACCCCATTCTAATTATTGAGGCCCCTATAGTAGGGACACAAAAAAATTGTAAACTCTAAACCCACAATTCACCCAAAGGGCTGAACCGTTTAAGCCTCCATCCCAAAATCATGATACCGAAAACAAAAGTCATCTTATTCTGAACCCAAAGTGACCCTCCAGCCCAATTTCCCAACTCTGCCCATAGTCTCCATTGTAGATCTTCTTCTTTCTGTGCCAGTTTTGAGGGTTAGGATTCTCTTAGTATGTAAGACTAGTTCTCCCCAAAAGGAGTTACAATGGAGACTATAGGTAACTCCCAACTCAGTGCCCAGAATCCGTCGTTCTGGACTTTGTGAAGACGAAAATCTCGGGAGGCAGCGTCACTGGGAAGGGCAGGAAATCCTCCTTGGAGATGAGGATTCAGGGTTTAGGGGTTCAGGGTTCAGGGTTTGGGGGTTTGAGGTTCAGGGTTCAGGGTTTAAGAGTTTAGGTACGTTTGAGTTGCAGCCCAGCCGCGAAATTCTTGCCCACCAGAGGGAACCAGGACCTGCATGGTATCCCTTTCTTGTTAGTAGGGCATCGGTGTACAGATATTGAATATACATATATATATATATCTAGGTGCTCCCATCTGTGTTCTTCGTTGTGTAGGATTGTAGGGTCTTTTATCCGGGTTTACAAGGGGATCCGGAAATGGAGTGGACCCTTCTTCTGGGGGAGCCCTCTTTTCACCAAGCAAACTTCTAAGATCAACGCTACTTATACTTCACGCTTCACATAAGACAAAACCTCCTGGAGCTAGCTTCTTCTTATTTGCTGGTGCATTAACCTTACTGTAAACCATATTCAATTCGTCGGGTATGCTGTGGGGGTCGAGGATAAGGGTTCAGAATTCAGGGGCAATCGTGAGGGGTGGGGGGCGGTTGGAGTTCTTCGCTTCCTGGCTTTCAAAGTTTAAGGTAGGCTTCAAAGTTTAAAGCAAGTTGAGGGCTTAGGACATTTTGTTTAGGGCTTGTGCGCTATACCTTAACCTCCCGTACCCAAAATTGGCTTGCAGTGCGGGCGCAGTAAACCCTATAACCCCAACCCTAAACCCCTAAACCCTAGACCGCTGCTGGAGGAAAGATACGCCTGTGTCCTTCCAACTGAGTGAGAGTTCCCATACACCTCAGGGTTGACCATGACAGGAAGGCACGGCTGCCGAAGCTCTCTCGGCATGTGCTTGATGACACTTTCGCATTGTGACCGTTCAGGTATAACCTGCCTCTCCAACCACTTGTGGACAGTCGTGACATTTCGTTCAATGCGAAGGGCCTCCTCCTACAAAGGTCTTGGCGCTGGGTCTAGTTCTTCGTGTCTGTCTGGCAGCTGCCATCCACCACCTTCGGCTGACTGTACCTTGGGCCCATCATGTATCAGGGTTCAACTTGTCCACCTGGCTGTCTCCAAGCTTAGGCCCACGCTGTCTCATGCTGTTCGTGGGGATAACACCCAACGAATGCAAAAGATTTCTGCACTCATCCAGGTCGGGCTTACCCCAAAACAATATAGCGCGGTCGAGGGTGTAGACGGCATCCAGCTGTTTGGCACTACGGTTCAGAGGCTTCTGGGTTTAGAGTTCGCCTACAGCCCGAAACTACCCTCCACCGTCCTCCGCCAACCTGGGTTTGGCCCTTCACTTCTGGCAAAAGCGTTTAGGGTTTAGGGTTTTGGGGTTTCGGGTTTTAGGGCTTACAGGGTTCAGGGTGTAGGGTTTCGGGTTTTCGCGCTTATAGGGTTTAGAGTTTGAGGGTTTCGGGTTTTAGGGCTTTTCGGGTTTAGGGTGTAGGGTCTCGGTTTTTAGGGCTTATAGGGTTGAGGGTTTTAAGGTTTCGGGTTTTAGGGCTTTTAGGGTTTAGGGTTTTAGGGTTTTAGGGTTTCGGGTTTTAGGGCTCTTAGGGCTTAGTGATCACATATTCGAAGATATGCTCTACGCACCCGCTGTTCCTAGACCCCGGGAAGGATCCCACCAGTAGATCTCTCAACACGGCCTCTGCAAAGATCTACCCTCTATTAGACCCTAAATACCCTTAATTTGGGAGCATATACCCCTATTTGAGGCTACTTGGAGGCTCCTGGAAATCTCGGATCGACTCTTGAGATCCTAACCCTAAACCCCAAAAAACCCGTAAACCCTAAACCCAAAACCCAAAACCCCAAAACCCTAAACCCTAAACCCCTAAACCACTAAATTCCTAAACCCAAAACCCAAAACCCTAAAGCGTTGAGGAGCACGAGGCCCTTTGGGGGTTCCCAGAACTTGCACCGCCCATTTGGGCCTTGCAAGCTCACGCGCGTCGGCCGTGTCAATGTCCTCGGGACGGTGTTTAGGCTTCGCACTTAGCTTAGGGGCTGAGTACCCCTAGCCCCCAAAAAGGTTAACCTTTCGAATTATAGTAGGATTATATAAGCCCCAAAAGGTTAAAGGTTACCTACTCAGCCTCTAAGTTAGGGTTCATTTATGTTTTATCTTTTTCGTTCTTGCGCGGCTTCCGTTACGAGTGTGACATTCCCCTGCTAGGATGAGCCTGCTGGTCTTTGGGAACTCATAGCCACAGACCTCAAAGGCAAACTCGAGCATGTGGAGGGCACGCTGATCCAAAAAACACGTCCGTCAAGATCAATGCTTTTGCCTCGCATTCGAAAGTACAAGGGTCTGGAAGTTGGCATTGATGACTTGTCTGTCAGGAAAGTCATTACTATTTGCAGCACTCTCTGGCCTGCATTCAACGTCAAGTGAGACGTTTAGGGTTTAGGGGCTTAGGACCTAAGGATTTTGGGGTTGTCGAGTTTTGGGTTCCTGGATGTCGCATCCTTCGACTCAGCTTCAGAAAAACATAGACCATACGTCAGCTGTGAGCAACCACAGGAAAGCCAAGAGGCCCTCAACTCCAAAACCGCCCTAAGTCCCCAAGTCTCTGTAGCTCTTCGGCCTGGACGAACCCAAGAAGTTTCAGCCCCCAAGATAAAACATCTAAAGCCGAACTCAAGAAGTTTCAGCCCAAAATAAAGAAAAATCTAAATCCGAACTCAAGAAGTTTCAGCTCAAATTCCCTGAAGCACTCGTCTCCGAAGAAGCCCTCAGACAAAGAGGTTCATTGTTTCGAAGGCCGAGCTCAGGCTTCGGAGAGGGCCCCCCCCAAAGAAGCACCGAAGCAAAAGACACGAGGCCAGGCCGGGATCTCCCGTAAAAAACAAGCCTCCGCATTTAGGGGTTTAGAGTTCAGAAGCAAAAGTTACGTGGAGGTTCATGGGTAGTTATAAGTATGGATATAAGTCCCCCTATAGGTTTTTAGGGTTTAGGGTTTACCATATTTAGGGTTTAAAGGTTCAGAAAGTTACTTGGAGGTTCATGGGTACTGCTGATGATAGAGATCCTTTGCACTCGCTTAAAGACCCTAAACTATGGGGATTATATGATATATTTCCTTATTGTGGGTAATGCAGGATTTATATTTATATCACCAACCGTAGTTATAACTATGGTTATAAGCCCCCCCCCGAATATGGGTTAAAACTATAGTTACCTTGCTTAACCCCACTTATAGCCACCCATGAACCTCCAAGTAGGGTAGGTATATCCCATCACAAACCTCTCCGTATGCTGACGCCCACTCAGGTAGAGACATCCATCTAAGATGTGCTTGCTTATGTACTCCAGGCCCTTCAGGAATCAGCTAGCTCTCTCGCCTGTAGTAGGGCCAGCCAGAGCCTGGCTTCTGACGGGTGCTCAGGTCAGCAACTCTTGTCTCAGCGACCGAGTCGAAGGCCTTTTGCAGGTCGAGCTTGAGGATCCAGAATCCCCCCCCCCCGCCCCAGTCTCGCGCCCTGCGGGCAACCTTAGCGTAGGGTGAGGATTGGCTCCGTCCCCTGTTTCCGGGGGGCAGCCCATTGCAGTGTGTTCAACGGTTGCAAGGTGTAGGCACACCACCTGAACAGGAGCTGCGCAATGGCCTGGAAGATGGTACTGCTGAGCGTGATGGGTCGGGTGTCCCCCCACTTTTGTGGCAGGGCCTCCTTTGGGAGTAGAGTCCTTTCTCCACCGCCCCTGGGAGCTTGCCGGTGTATAGTGCGTCTCTGAACGCAAAACCGCAACTCTATGGTCTCAGGCCCTCCGAAGGCTCAGAGCCCCCAAACTCTTGAAGATCAGCACCCCCTTGCCCGCTTGCTTAAGACATGTCACAGCAGGGATCCGGAGAAAGCAAGGGGGAACCCCATTCTACAAACCCTATAGTGCCCCTAAAGGGGAACCCTAGCAGAGAACCCTATAGTGCCCTTGAAGGGGAACCTTAGCAGAGAACCTCTTTTGGTACCCTTAAAGGCACACCGGTAACAGGATGAAAGGGTGGGGTCGGTGGGCTTTAGGCTTTGAACCCCGACGAAAACCTCTCCAATATACCATGAAGCATCCTAAACCCTCAGCTCTTGACCCTTAGGAAGCCCTTTAAGCTTTAGGCCTTAAGAGTTTTTAGGCTTCAAGAGCTTAAGGGTCTAGCAGTGAAGCCCTATGGTTTAGGGCTTTGGGTTTAGGGTTTAGGGTTAGGGCTTAGGGCTTAGGCTTAGGGGTTAGGGTTTTTGAGCCTAGGATTGAAACCCTCATCGCGCAACGAGAGTCCAAGGTGGCGAAGATGTACTGCCCTGTTGCACGGAGCTCCTCCGCAGGCACCGAAACACACAGCGATTTATATGAGATCTAGATTTCAGCCGCAGTTTAGGTTTTAGGGTTTAGGGATTTAGATCACAGGCTTTATATAAGGATTTAGATTTCATCCACGGTTGAGGGTTTAGGGCTTAGAGGTTTTAGGGCTAGGCTTCATGGTTCCTATGCATGTAGAGGTTAAGAATAGAGGTTTCAGGGTTTGTGGTCCAATTCCGTAGAAAGCAGCTGCCAGCCTGTCGCGCAATGCGACTTTCTGGGGGAGCCCTGATCTTTTGGAATAGGGGCTCTTGGGAATGTTATTTTTGAGAAAAGATACATGAAGGAGCCCTTAAGGGATACTCTGGGTGGCTGTTACAGGCTTCTGTAGAACTTCATGTCCGGATCTCGTAGGAGAGAGGGCCCCAAAGCCCCCCAAAGCTGCTTTGCTTCACGTTCCAAGCCCAGGAAACTTCTTCGGGGTTTTAGGGTTTAGGGTGTAGAGGTTTTAGGGTTTAGGGTTTAGAGTTTAGGTTTTTTTTTGGGGGGGTGGTTTAGGGTTTAGGGTTTTTTGCGGTTTAGGGTTACCTTGGTTTGGAGCTCTCCACGTGATTACCGTACGGCCGGGGGGGGGGGGCAGAGATCAACTTTGTAAGCTGGGGGTGCAATCTAGGTCCAACAAGGGGGAGGCTGAAGACTTAGCAATTGCATTCCCTTCAGAAAGTTTTATTCTCTTCTTCAACAACCAGGCCCAACAAAGCTCAAGCTTTGTAGGATAGACCTAATATATAAAGCCAAAATGTTTAAAGTTCTCCCTTTGGCTACCTAAGTTTATAGTCCCAAGACAAGCATACTGCGATCTGCATAGGACCTAAACCCTATCTTAATTATTGTGGCCCCGGCACTTTACTCCGAAGTCCTTGCATATTTGCTAAAATGCCGCTAGCGTTATATCAGGCTTCCCTTAGCTTTCTCTCTTTTGCAGCAACCGGGCCCAAACAGGTTCAACCTTTCTAAGATGGGCCAAATATATCAATCTAAACAGTTTAAAGTTCCCTCGTTTGCTATCTAAGGGTAGGGTCTTCTACGGTAGTAACACTTATACATTCCATCAAGGAACCCTTCGACGAGCCTTATTCCAATGATTGAGGCCCCATCCACGGTGTTGAAGCTCCCACATGTTGCGACCTGGTTCACACGCTCCAGGAAGGTGGCCACTGCTGTGACGCTCGCTTCATCCTCTCACGTTTTGGGCGTGCAAAAAGGGTCTAGGGTTACGAGGTTTAGGGAGCGAATGGCTGTAGGGTTTACGAATGTAGGGTTTCGAGTTTTAGGGTTGAGGGGGTTTAGGGTTTTTGATCCGCTGTGCAAGTGTTTGGGGCTGAATATAAGGGCCTTCCTGATTGAACTAGGGTTTGTGATATATACTACGAACCCATAAGGAATCGCATGGGCAATTATTCAGGCTTCGTTACTAGGGCTGAGAGCTTGTTGTAGAGAATGGGGCTAGCCATAAGTAGGGTAACCTTTTTGCTACCATGCCGTGCTAGAAGGTGTACAACCTTAACAAATAAACAACCCTCCAACCCCTAAGCATAAAGGCCCCTCTGATTGCGGTACTGCTAAATTTAAGAAACCAGCCTGAAACCATCTGCCAAGGAAGAGTAACCGGTAATTGGCGACATCTGCTTTTAGCTCGGATAAAACTAGTGCAGCCCAAACCTCATTGTAGTAACAACCCGTTAACAAAACCCTATTCCAATCATAAAGGCCTAAACCCTAAAACCGTAAACCGCAAAATCCTAAAGCCCCCAAAAGCCCTAAAACTAGACCTCTCGACTCTTTAAATAAGTCTTTAAACCCCAATCCCCTAAAGCCCTTAAAAGCAAGCCTACTCTACTTCAAGAGGCCCCCAGTCGAACCCTAAACCCTAAACCCCAAACCTGTACCCCCTAAACCCTAAACCCTAAACCCTACACCTGTACCCCCTAAACCCTAAACCCTAAACCCCAAACCTGTAGACTCTCGGTGCAGGGAGCCTGGCCGTGCCGTAGTACAACCACAGGTAGACCTCGAGCAGATGAACTTTTGGGCTTCCTCGTTCCTGTAAGGGTAGGCTTCTTCTGAATTAGGATCCCCTTTTGGGGCTGTCTATGAGGGGGTCTATAAGGGTTTCTATAAGGTTCCTAGAAGGGTACTTTAAGGGTAGTTTTTCTAAATTTTGGTCCCTTTCGGGGTCTCGTTTGTAAGGGTGCCGTACTATATTTGGGGACCTAAAAAAAAGAGGACCCGAATTGAGAGAACTACCCATAAGGGTTACCATGAGGGTTCTATAAAGGGTCTATAAGCATGACTATTGGGGGTTACTCCAAGGGTTGCAATCATCAATAATAAGAGATGGTGTGTTACTATCCGGCTAAGGGTTCAGGGGTGAAGGCCTTGGGTTTGGGGTTCAGGGCTTGGTTTCGGGGGATCTTGTGCCTGGGGATTTTAGGGCTTTGGGTTTGGGGCTTGGGCTAAGGGCTAAGGGAGTTGGTGATCCTCGGGCTTAAGGGCTTCGGGTTCAGTCAAGGGAAGCTACAGGTGGGGAGTTTAGGGTACACAGGGCTTCCTTTTAGGCTTCTATAAGCTATATGGACCTTCTATAAGGCTCCTATAACGGTAACTACCCACCTGAAAATGTCCGAGCTTCAGGGCTGAGGGCTTAGGCTATCTCTGGGCTTCATGACTGATTTGCGGGCGTCGAAGGACTGACTTGATGAGTTCACGGCCGAACCGGCTAAAGTTATAGGGTTTAGGGTTTAGGGTTTAGCTAAAGTTGCCAAACCACCAAGTTCAAATATCCTGTACTAAACCCTTCAAACCCTAATCCCTAAGCCCCAAGCCCTTCAGTGTAGTTGCACATAGGGGGTTCTGGTTTCCAGAGCCTGAGCAGTACCAGCTCGTGCGGGGAGGCCCCTGAGAAATTCAAGAGCAAGATCTCTTGACTACACGGGCCTTCAGGATTACAATAAGACTTAGGGGGTGTATGTATGTATGTGTATATATATATATAATACTATAATACTATAACCAAAAAGGGAACCCTCAAGTCTATTGTTACGGAGTCTTCAGGCCCACATCTCGTTGAGACTTGAGGCCCTTCCTTGGACTCAGGGCTTGCATCAAGGCTCTGAGGTCCTTTCCAAGGCCAGTCGTCGAATATACAAACACTGCGCCCGGCGCCTTGTTACATTCAGAATCTAATAAGCAACCTTCACAAAACAAAACACTATATTACTTTCTTCAGAATATTCAGAGTATAATAATATAAGCAATCTTCACGAAACAAGACCAACACGATACTCACTAGCCCAACTCAGGCCGAAACACGACACCCCAAAGCTGCAGCCCCTGAAACCCCCAATTGAAACTTGAAGGACCCCCTGAAGGAACCCTTAAGCCCTAGAAGTTGTAGAAAACTGAAAGCAACCCCTTAAAGCCTTAAAGAAACCCTTCAAACCTTGAACCTTGACCAACAAACCCTAAACCTCAAACCCAAACCCTTGCAAGGAACCCCTAAACCTCTATTTCACGCGTAACGGGCCCCTCAAACTAAAGGTAAGTAAAGGAACCTGAAATGCTTAGGGGCTGAGCACCCTAGCCCAAAGAAGGTTAACCGCTTCAATTATGATAGGATAATATAACCCCAAAAGGTTAAGCTCACCTACTCAGTTACTAAGCCCTCTAAACTTTAAACCTCCATTTTTGCAAGTCCCTAAACTGTTAAACCGTTCTAAACCCCTTAACCCTAAACTTCAAACCATCCTAAACCCCAAAAAACCCTGAACCCCCTAATCCCTCCATGTTTCCATCCGAAAGGTGAAGGTCAACTACCCAGCTACTTACTTCCGCAATAAGCCAGGGAAATAGAAGATTCAACTTTCAGATCACTCTTAAGTTGTAAGAACCCTAAATCCTAAACCCAAAATGTTTCAGGGTTGGGTATGGGGGAACTAAGGCCAGGACTGTTGATGATAGAAATCCTGCATTACCCATAATAAGGAATATACCCTGATTCCCCCTAGTTTAGGGTCCTTAAGGTAATGCTAAGGATTTATAACCTAAACCCTAAACCCCAAACCTCAAGCCCTAAAACCTAACCCTAAGCCCTAAACCCCTGAAGGTAATGCTAAGGATTTCTATCATCAACTGTTCTGGGACTCATGCTGAAAAGTCTCTGAACCGAGACTCTTACTTCCCCAATAAGCTAGGGAAATAAAAGGTTAAACTTTCAGACTACTACTAGATTCTAAGAACCCAAAAAGTCTAAAGGTTGGGTGTTGGAGAACTAAGGACTATCATCAACCATAGGACTGAGGACATCCCCGGCCTGATCGCAGAAGCTCTCTGCCGTTCCAGGACCCCAGGCTTGACACGGGCGGCCGTAGGCCTTATGGGAGTTTCTAGGGGCTTAGGGCCTTAGGGGTGTGGGGATTCTGTTGCCTCGCATGTTAAGGGAGGGGGGGGGGGCGCTTGAAACATTTAGGCTCTGCCGAAGTCTTTCAGGGATTCAGGAGGGGGATCAACTCAATGAGCGCTGTCTCAAGCCTCACAACCCACGAAACTCGAAGGCCTGCTTGCCCAGATCCCTGCCGGATTTCTCAACCCACGGTAGTAAGGGGGGGGTCATCAGGTGCCCTGGAAAGATAACCCTAAACCCTAAACCCCTAAACCCTAAACCCCTAACCCCCTAAACCCGAAACCCTTTTAAAGGCTTCTTGGGGTTTTGCTCCTATCCTCAGCAAGAGCCCAGACCTCCAGTGCTTCAAAGCGGCTAATCTCAAGCCAGGTCTGCATCACTTCCTCGCCAGGCTGCACGGCTTAACCCTGATTTGAACAAGCCCTAAAACCCTAAAGCCCTAAAACCCGCAAGCCCTAAACCCCTAAACCCTAAACCCCTAAACCCTAAACCCTATCGGGGCCTTTCTGTTCATGGGAGCCCGGAGTCTCGACCTTGCATTTTGCGTCTTTGGAGGGCCAGGAGCAGGTGAAGTACCCAGAAACGCCCAAAAATCCTATCATCATTCAAGGGCTTAGGGTCTTTTAAGGTTTTAAGGATTAGGGTTTAGGGTTCTAAGGTTTAGGGTTTAGGGTTTTAAGGATTAGGGCTTAGGGTTTTAAGGAGTAGGGTTTAGGGTTTTTGGGTCCCAGAAGCGCAAGTTTTCAGTCCCATCACGAGACCTCAGACGAAGGTTGCAGGGGTGTCGTCTATCAATCCGTGAACCAGCACTAAGCTAGGGTTAAATGTACTTGAACCTACCAAAACCTATGTGTTTGCAGGGCCGAAATACTACTATATGTTCCATATCGGGGTTTATAATAAGAACCTACAAAGACAAGTAGGTTGTGGTACAGTTTAGGTAGGCTTGAGGAATGACACTCAAGATTCGGTGATGCATCTCCACATCAAGCCATTGCTTCCTATGTACATACAGCCGTCCCAAACAAGATAATATAGGGGCCTTAAGAATCAGAACAGCGTCTGGGGAAATTTGGTGCTATAGTTATAGTATTTGTAACTGTTTAGGTCCTCATATTACCAGTATTCGTTGGGATCTGACTGGGAAAGGGTAGCTGTCGAACACAAGAGGCTCTTTCCTGAAGCCCTACACCCGTAATCCCAAAAAACCCGAGGCCCGAAACCCTAAACCCATCCCCAAACCCGTGGCAGTGAGAAAAAAACTAACAAAAACCCAAGTATCCCGAGAGCCTCAGGAGCTCGAGTCCCTGAGGTCCCTGGGCCTTGTCCGGTACCCACTGGAAGGGTGCCGCGTCCAAGCCCATGTCCTGGTTAGGGCTTTGGGGCTTAGGGTTTGGGGTTTGGGGTTTAGGGTTAGGGTTTTAAGTGAGGGGCTTAGCATTTTGCCACTTTTTAAAGGAAACTACAGGTGGGGAGTTTGGGGTATATAGGGCTTCTATATGGCTTCCATAAGGTATATAGACCTTCTATGAGGCTCCTATCTGTGGGCGTCTTCAGCCTTTAGCATTAGAGTACGCAGGGCTTGTTTGTTCATAAACATTTATGCGCCGTAAAATAGTATGTGACATATGTAGTGGTTTGTGGTTCTGTGCGGGTGGCGCGCTGGTTCCTTTTTTTTGTGGGGGCCATGGGGAGGGTTTATAGTCTTGGGATTGGGAATTTGGCCCCCCTAAACCCTCAAACTGAGCCTGGCGCTTCGGGTCTGCTGAACTGGGGGCATGATTGATGTCATAGACACCATGTGGTGAAGGGCCTAAATGAAGAGAAAAAAGGGCTTGGTTGGGTACCTTCTACTGAAACTGAATTGGTATAGGCACCGCACAAGAGGCATTACTACCAATGTTTCCCACCTCTGTTACAGTCTTATAAGGTGGCCGTAGTAGGCAAGAGGAAGCAGGGTAATAACATGTCAGATCGGTTTTGCAACGCTTCATGCAGCTATCTAGCCTTGCAGGGACGGGTAGAGCGAATTATCATGATGCATCTTCAGAGGCTTCAACCTTGAGCAACTCCCAAAGCAGTCAGCTCCTGCAGAGCAAACGGTAGTCATCGCATTTATCATAGCAACATTTGCAATCATCATGCCCGAATCAGCAGAGAGCACAACACATGCAAGCCAAAACCCAGCCTATCTCCATGAGCCACAGTAACAACAAGGCGAGCCAAAGAGTAGCGCTCATGCTTGCAGAAAGACCAAATACGCGCACCAAGCCAAAACCCATGCAAGCACCGAATGCAAGAACACCAACGCAGAGGGGTCCTAACGATTAGAACCGGGCGTTGGGACATATTATGCAAACTTCCAGTATGTAGAGTTACAAGGGTCAACTATGTTGCTAAGCCTTCGAAAACACCGCAAAAATCTAGGGTTCGAACGCCTGAAGAATCCCCCGACCCCTTCGCTCCCCTGTTCCCTTAAAGGAAACTACAGGTGGGGAGTTTAGGGCATATAGGGCTTCTATAAGGCTTCTACAAGGTAGATAGACCTTCTATAAGGCTCCTATAACGGTCACTCCTCACCTGAAAATGTGCTAGACTGTTCCCCCGGCCTCGTGGGCAGACACGTGCACCGAGGGTGGCCGGCCAGGAAGGAACTTCCAGACACCTGCAGGCGGCAGATCTCATGGCCTAAACTTCTTTGGAACCTCTTGAAGCCCTCAAAGCCCTCAGAAGCCCGAAATCAGCACTACAATTTGGGGTTTAGGGTTTAGGGAACTTGACAACACCCTAAACCCTAAACCCGAAATCAATAAGCACTACAACTTGAGAACACCCTAATAACCCCAAATTGCGCCTCCAAAACCCTTCAAAGCCTAACAGGCCCTGAAAGCCCCCCCCCACCCCCCCACCCTCCAAGGAACCCACCAAAAGCCCTGTGAACCCGACACCTCGAAGCTTCAAAGCCCTGAGGTGGCACCAGTCGGATTTAGGGTTGCAAGGCTTTCGTTTAGGGTTTAGGGTTTAGGGTTAGGGTTTAGGGTTTAGGGTTTAGGGTTTCAAACTTCGGTTAAGGCTTTGCAGGTGGGGGTTTGAGGGTTTAGGGTTCACCAGGGTTTAGGTGGGAGTTAAGGCTCTGCAGGTTCTAGGGCTTGAGGGCTTAGGGTTTAGGCTTCTGGGTTAAGGTACTATCATATGTCATTTATAGTAGATTAGAGTATATTATATCATAGTATATCATTTTCTAGTATATTATATATTGGGCTCAGGTGCGACTTAAAAGCCTGGCAGGTTCCTAGTGTTTGAGGCTTGCGCCGGGCAATGGTGCCTGTAATATGGCACCAAGCCAAAGCTCAAAGCCCAAACCGAAACAACCAAACCCTAAACCCTAAACACCAACCAAAACTCTCAGCCCCAAATGGTTAAGGCTTTTGTTGCTTTTTTTTATCAACGCTCGGTGAGCTGATGAAGGTGTTTGTGGAAAATTTCGGAGGAGTTGAAGGCATTGGTTCCGGCATGAGCAACCCGCAATAAATGGGCAAACAAAACTACCGCGGCACCCAGGCCAGCTTGGTCTATAGGAAGTCACAGGTCTTCAGGTGTGGGGGAAGTGCATGCTTAGGACATGCCTCGGGTGAGCTTATCAACAGAAGTGGCTCGCTACACGAACGAGCATCATCACGGCACCACCATGGTCTTGGGGCTTGGCACTTAGGGGCATGCCCATGAGCAGCATCGCTTGAGCAGTGCAGCCGCCCAGCCTGAGTGTAAGGCCAGGTAGAAGTTGCACTGCTCCAGGTTATCGATGGCGATCTCCTGCATCAGTCACCCTGAACCCTCAAAATCGCCCAGCTCTTCATGGGGGTTTCCGAAAATAGGGGACACTAATATAGTACCCTGAATAGTAGGATCCTTATTAAAAGGACACCAAAATAAAGTACCCTAANNCCTAATTTTCGGAAAGTCCCTCATGACGACCCGGGTCACCACAGAACCTCTACTAGCCTTGATCCCTTGACCCCTCCCACCCGCAGATTCAAGCGAAGCCCGCACGGGGCGCCTCTGCGGAATGGCACGTTAGCTTAAGACCGAGAGACCACAACACGGCCTCAGCCAGCATCGACGCACTTTCAGGCAACACATTTAAAGCTTTTGAGATCTTTCAGGTTCTGGTAGGGCTTTAGCAGATTCGATGGGGCTCAAGGGCATTAGCGCAACATCAGTTCTTTGCTCCCCTAAACCCTTAAGCCAGAAAAAAACCTTCCTCACACACTGCTCTAAACAAATAGAGCCTGTCTATAAACCTTTTTTAGAAATCCTGGAACCCTGTAACCCCGACACCCTCAAAGCCCGTGAAGGATGGAAACCCGGCTCCTCCCAGAGGGTTACCGAATCCTGGTCTGAGTCCGAGAGGAGCAGAAGGAAGCTCGGAACCCTCCGGCGTTTCTGCTTTCTTTTTCGTAAGTGAAGGGGGGAGGGGTTTTCAAGTTTAGGGGGGGGGGGGGTTGCTTTGGAGTTCAGGGTTTAGGGCTNNGTTTAGGGTTTAGGGTTGACCAAAGCCCAAAACACCCGCCCCTTTTGAGGATTTTTGGCAACATGAACCCTAACATGCCTTCCTCAGGATGTAAGCAAAGAATTCACATGGGGGTTTCCGAAAAAAGGGGACCCTAATATAGTACCCTAAAGAGTAGGATCCTTATTATAAGGACCCCAAAATAAGGTACCCCTATTTTTTGGAAACCCCCCACATTAATACCGAACCCTAGAGATGAACCCTAAAATGCCTCTTTTTTTCAGGCTTTAGATACAAAAAATCATAATAAGGAGCCGGAAAGACATCAGAATAAGGGACCCTAAAAAAGGCAGGTCCGGGGGGCCAAGAAGCTTTGAGATTCGCGGGGCCCCTGTTTAGGGTGCCTCTTCAAGGGCCAGTCCTATGCTGTTCAAAACAACGCAAGAAGCAAGTAATGGTTTAGAGTTTAGGGTTTAGGGAGGTTTAGGGTTTAGGGTTAGGGATCAGGGTTTAGGGTTTAGGGATTCTTGAGGTTTTGCTTGATTTTGTAGAAGTGTTCAAATTCTGAAAAACCACCGAACCTACAAGAGCCCATGGGAGAAACCTCCTTCTGTGCCATGATGCGAACTGAGTAAGAAGGCGGGTTTTGGGGTACCAGCTGGATTTGCCTGCCTGTCAACCATCGGAACAGACAGGGCATGAGTCAGAGATAGTCTTAGCCAGCTGAAATAACGATCGTCATGACAAGAGTATACAAAGGTGATGAGAATCGCAGTCTTCAGCCCTAAACCCTAAACCCAAAAAACCCTAAACCCTAAAGCCCAAAGAACCCTAAACCCTAAACCCGCAAAGCATGTCGACCTACGTCCTACATCCGAAACTCTGATGCTTCTACCAGGAACTAGGTTCCCCAGTAACCCCTTAATAAGAAGGGTACCCTTTTTCTTATTATTTGGGTTTAATAAGGGGACCCCAAACTAAAAAGGGCAAAAGGGTACTACTGGGGCACCTAGGGAAAAAGGATACCGAAACGCCGAAGCATAAACTCCTAGAGGCCTAGGCCTAGTGTAGCGGCCTTAGTAAATTAGCACAGGGGTTCGTGGAGCATGAAAGTAGCCAGCATAATAACACACCCTCAGGAGTGATATTGGTAATCCCAAAACCCCGCAACCCCTGAAGCCCTAAACCCCTAAACCCCTAAACCCCTCAACCCTAACACCTAAACCCCTGAACCCCTACACCGTCAACCCTAAACCCCTAAACCCTAAACCCCTAAACCCCTAAACCCCTAAACCCTAAAACCCTCAACCCCACACACCCCTAAACCCCTTTTTTTTTTGTAGTAAGACCTGCCGCCCAAGCTCTCAACGGTGCCCTCTGCGCCTCTGAAGCTTCGTGTTCTTCCAGTGCCTCGGCGTTTGTCAGGTCGGCGCTAGGAGGATTTCAGGGTTTAGGGTTTAGGGCTTTTAGGCTTTTAGGCTTTAGGGTTTAGGATAGGGTTTAGAGCTTAGGGTTTAGGGGTGTAGAGTTCAGGGGTTAGGGGTTTAGGGTTTAGGTAACATACCCAAAGCCCTCTTCCAACTATGAGCCCCCATGTGGTAAACTGTGTAACCCCATATAGTGACCGTTGAAGAGGAACCCCCCAAAAAGGGAGCCGGAATCTCCGAGCTTAGGGGCATAATTCAGGTTGACGGAACTATCCCGAAAAACAGGATTTTCGGTGCAAAATTCCTTTGTGCTTCGGTACTTGGACCCTCTGGGCGGAGACAGATGTACGTGCATGTGCCATCCCATGCCACCTAGATTGAACGATTGCTGCAACGCTTTCGCCATCACTGCCTAGTCTTGGATCCGCGGATCCGCTGTGCGCCCCCGACGCGGGCGCCTCACACGGTTAACGCTCTCCAGCCCCGGCGTGTTACCACACCGTCTGGGGAACAAGTTTTCAGTTGTAAACGTTGATATAATCCCCAAAACCCTAAACCCGAAACCCTAAAACTCTAAACCCTATAATCCCCCAAACTTAACCTTTACTCATCCAGCTGTTAAGTTCTTTTGTTGCAGGGCAATCCGGCTTGGGGGTTCTGGGTTCTTGCTAAGAAGTTTAATGTAAGCTAGCATAACAGAGAAGCCCGACTATTCACCATAGATCCCTATTCAGGTAACCCTTCCTCAACCATAACCCAGTATACATCCCTAAATCCGGACGGACGTCTGATATTGTCTAGGTAAGGAGGTTTCGTCACACCTGTGCTGGGCATCTCTAAGTTTACACGGCGATGTTCTCGATAAGGAGGGGGGAGGGCGGGGTGGGCAAAACATGCGATGTTCTATAGGGTCTCGATTGCAAAGACGATATCGGTATGGATCCACTTGACCTGGAGGTATCAATAGTAACGTCGTTTGTTCGTAGCTCTCCAGCCCGCAAGGCATGGCATAACAGGTACATGAGCGCAGGAGTGATGCTGACGACGTGCGGGGGCATGCTGTCGAAAACGACGCTGCTGGGTGTCGCTCAAAGTATCACAGAAAAATCAACTAAATTTAGTAGATTTCTGGCTTTGGCATTTGGGTGATTGATTTGTACCCAGGGAGAAAAAAGCATAAAACTTGTGTTTCATACTGGCTCGTTTAACGCACAAGTCCCCCCGAAAAAGTACTCAAGTATGGTACTCCAGAACCTACTGGGAGGTTCATGGGTAGATATAAGTGGGGTTATAAGTCCCCTAAGTTGGGTTATAACTCTAGTTACCCTACTTATAACCCCACTTATAACTACCCATGAACCACGAACCGAAGACCCTTGGAGAGAATAGTCCGCTCTGCCGGGAGACTCGGGAGTGTCGAGCAGGAAGAAGGAGGGTCGCGCGATCCGGGCCATCCACCATGCTATCCTGGGTCCGGGGTTTTTCAAAGTCTTGAGCATAGGGCACATATGGGACTTTCCGAGAATTGGGGTACCTTATTTTGGGGTCCTTATAATAAGGATCCTACTATTTAGGGTGCTATCCTGGGTCCCGGGTTTTCAAAGTCTTGAGTATGGGGCACATATACTTAGGGGCTGAATACCCTAGCCCACAACATGCTAACCTCTTACATTGTAGTAGGATTGTACAAGCCCCAAAAGGTAAAAGGTTACCTGCTCAGCCCGAAAGCGAAATCTAGTTCAATTCTGAAAGCCCAGGTATAGACCATCTAAACCCTAAACCCCCACAGAACGACAACCTTCTTTCATTAGAACCTTAAATGACACCCGAAGAAGAAAGCTACATAATTACCAACACTGCTCCTTACGGCTGCTTGTGGTAACTTTACCATAATGTACCCCCGAAACTTTTCCATAACGTACCCCCAAGCCCCATTCTAAGCTAAACCCCTTCTCTCGCCACCCAAGAAGCACGTCCGGCTCCCTGGGCCTGCGCCGCAAGCGCGGCTGGGATGTTACGGGCTCAGGGATCTGGCGGTGATTCGAGGTGTTCCGGGCTTAGCCTTATGGTGAGGCTACCCTTTTTCCAGGGTTTTCGGGGATCTGAAGACTTTCCAAGGCTTATGGAAGAGTTTTCCGGGCTAGTATACCATGTTCAGACGGGTTTTGGGGTTCGCACTTAGGATTCTTGATAATGGTTTCTGGGCTCAAGCGAACTATCTAGGACATTTTCAGGTGGGTAGTTACCGTTATAGGATCCCTATAGAAGCTCTATATACCTTAAAGAAGCCTTATAGAAGCCCTATATTCCCTAAGCTCCCCACCTGTAGCTTCCTTTACAACTCTGTGAGCACCTCGGACAGTCTGTCAAACGTTTGATCGCTTCTTGACATGGTCTCAACATCCCTTTTCTACCACCGAGGGCCTTCATAAGCCAAAAGAAGATAAGGATAGGCTTTGGGTGCACGGTATGGCATGGCTTCTACTAAGGAAGATAAGGATAGGCTTTGGGTCCACGGTATGCTATGGCTTCCTTGTATTAAGGAGGCTCAGGTATAATGCTTTGTCCTGCTGCATGAAGGGTTCCAGAAGGACTCCCAGAGAGATGCGAGCCCGGCGGGGATCACTTTGCCCTGCAAGGCCCTGGAGGAAGCTCCGGGCTTTAAGGCTTAGGGCATAGGGTTTGAGAAACTTTAGGGTTTAGGGCTTAGGATTAAGAACCGTAAACCCTGAACCCAAAACTTTAGGGGTTTTAGGTTGCTGAATTTCATGGAATGCGACATCCATACTCAACTCCTGAATTCACTGAAGCCCTAGACCTTAGGGCCTGAGGCAGTGATAGAGCACCACGACGATCATGACGACCACGGCGACCAAGAAAACCCATGATCAACACGACCACATGGACAACCACGACGACCACTGCGACCAGCACGAGGACACCAGGAGGCCACCAGGAAACCCCCCGGAGACCAGAACGCCAGCACGGAGCTTCTCAAAAACAAATGGCCAACGGAACGTGCTCCTCAAAAAATAAATAATTCGCTATGCCAGGGGGGTAGCCGGAACACGGCTTTTTTTTTGTGTGCCTCTTACCAGCTAAATTTTTGAACCTCACGCTGTGCACCACACATTTATGGAATCGCAAGAACGGCACAAACCAAGCAGGTTAGTGGCACAAACACAAAACCCACTCAAAACCTGAAGCTCTCAACCCAAAGCTTTAAACCCCTCGAAGAAAGCCTAAGCCCTCAAGTCTAAAACCCTAAACCCTAAGCTCAAAACCCCTAGAACCCCATTGTAGTACCCCTTTATGGCCCCCTCAAAGCCCTTAAAAGGATCCCTTTAAAGGAACCCCAAAACCCTAAACCCGGAAACCCCCAAACCCTACACCACCTTAGACCCTAAACCCCGAAAACACCCTAAACCCCTTATACCCCAAACCCCATTAGACCCTAAAAACCCCAAAAACACACACTTTCTCCCCAAAAGAACCATAGAACCCTTAAAGGAACCCCCTATAGAACCCCCCAGGGGCGTCCTCTTGAAGTTTACGAGGCGCCCTTGTCGGAAGCCGCGGAGGGCTGGATACGTACTCTGCCTGAGAGCTCGCACGCGAGCTGTAGGGGGGTTCAGGGCTTTAGGGTTTTAGGATTTAGGGCTTTAGGGTTTTGGGGTTTTAGGGTTTGGGGTTTAGGGTTTCAGGGTTTCGAGTCTTTTTCAGGGCTTGAGGGTTTGAAGATGTAGAGCTGTAGGCATTGAGGGCTTTAGGGTTTAGGGTTCAGGGGTTGAGGGTTGGGGGCTTTTGGCGTTTAGGAGAGGGTTGAGGAAACAGCAGCAGTTGATTCACGAAAACGACACAAGTGTCGCCCTAAAGTACTTGCTTCCTCAAGACCAACAAAACCAAAACCAGATTTTCCGAATAGTATTGGTAGGAGGAAAAAATCCTGGTTCCCCAAATCTAAACAAGGGAGCACACCAAAATCAGGTTCGGGTTACCGCGGCTGGTTAGGGCAAAATCCTGAAGCCAAATCGATGAACTCGAGAGTTCTGGCAAAGCTGCGCGAAGCGTTCGCAAACTTCTGCGGCCTGCGAAAGGGGCCAGGGCGTTTTGGATGTCGGCATAGGTTTAGGGTTTCGGGTCTTGGGCTTGAGGGTGCTTAGAAAGTAGAGTCCATTGTCTTACTTCCCCATTAAGCCACGAAATAAAAGCTTAACTGTCAGATTACTACTAAATTCTAAGAACCCAAAAAAACTTTTTATTGAAGAACTAAGTTGTAGTGTTCTGGAACGGAGGGCTTAAAGGCTTGAGGTTAGGCTTTGCCGATTGAGCGGTCGGGCTAGGACAAGCGCCGGGCCACAGATCGTCGGCACTTGAAGAAGTATTACAGACCTGAACTTGAATCTACAGGTACTTGTTGCGATGCCAGTAGAACGCCAGCTTAACTTCTCAATTTTATGCGCATATCTATATCGATGTATGTGTAAACATCTGTACATGTGTCTATATGTATATACAAACCTGTATATACCTATATATATATATATACATATATGTATGTATGTATGTATGTATGTATGTATGCCTATATGAGTGAACCGCGTGAGACATCTGCATAACTATGCAGTCCGAAATAGTGTCGTCCTCGTCAGTTTCAGCAGCGGTACTGGGCGGCAGCTAACAAAGGACCGATGCAGCCGAGGCTATGACAGCTATGACGGTTAAAATGCCCAGCACAATGTCCAGACCAGAGGAGCATACGCGGATGAGTGCACACGCACGCAGCCCTGCGACAAGTACACACAAACACAAACAAACACAAACACACACACACACACAGACACACACAGACACACACAGACACACACAGACACACACACACACACACACAGAGACAGACGCACACACACACACACAGAGACAGACGCACAGACACACAGACAGAGACAGAGAGGCAGAGGCGTAGAGCTTGCAAGAACGTGTCCGAGAAGGCTCGTGGACTAAACACCGACTGAGATCGAGACCAATGATGACCATAATGCCGACAGCGCCAGAGTGAGGAGTATCTGTGTTATCGCCGTCAGGGAGCATCGCCCGCAAGACGGCCCAAACAGAATCGGTCATGAAAACCCAAAGCCGAAAACCGCATACGCCTACAAACGGGTCTGATGGAGCTCAAGAGGTCTGTCAACCGTTCGCAAACACGTAGAGTCACCAAAGAGCTCATAGATTGTGACTGCGGTAGCCCATACATCTGCTGACCAGTCATGCCAATAACACACTCTCCATCCAGACGGAGGTAATCAGAACTCATTAGAGAAATGATGCCATAGTGAAAACTAGCAGGACAAATTGCAACAATTAGCGTAGCAATCAAACGAAGAGACACGCAGCGACAGAACTCCTGTGGTAGTTCTACCCACAGCCATACTATACCAATGATCCCCCAAATGCAACCGACACCTAATAGGTCAAAATATGTAGCTCCATAGCTACACCTTAGATGTGTAATATCCTGCTCTAAACACAAGGCACACACCACTCTGAGATGTGCAAATCTGTTCAATGCCCAGCATCTTCCGAAGCTGACGAAAGCCGACCCTGAGAGCTTTACTAAGGGTTTAGTTTAGGTTGGATACTGCCACCCCTCAGTAACAGTTGATTTCTATTCATAATATGGATATATGAGGCCCTTAAAAGTAATTAGCCCAATTATAGACTGTTGCTGTATGGGGGCAGTACCCAAGGTTTAGGGTTAGGTCCCTTGCAGCCTACACACCGGAGACCTCAAACAGGATTGGCACTGTACTGAACTTGCATCCCTAGCACAAACCTATGGTTTTAGCTGTGTCTTAGGGACTTTCGTAACCAGAAACCAAGAGTCATTTAGAAGTACCCCTAAACCCTAAACCCTAAACCTTAAACCCTAAACCTACCGCTAAGGGCAGCGGACCTCGCCTCACTCAGGCTACAGTCCAACACAAAGATCCGTATGGGCCGGATCAAGATCACCTCGCCTCAGCAGCGCTGGGGGGCTCAGTACCCCTAGCCCCCAAAAGGGGTTAACCTTTTCAATTAGGATAGGGTTATATGGGTAGTTCTCTAAATTAGGGCCCCTTTTTAGGTCCCCGGCACCCTTAAAAAAAGTACCCTAAAAGGGACCCTCATTTAGAGAAGCTTTCCAATTAGGGTAGGATTATACGGTTGATGATATAAATCATGGGAGACCTAAGCTGAAGGTTCTTCAGGGGGGGAGACCTTAGGCCCAAGCCTGAAGCAAGTCCTGAGCTTCTTGCGGGTTAGGGCTTCGGGTTTAGGGGTTTAGGGTTTAAGGGTTTAGGGGTTTAGGGTTGAGGGTTAGGGTTTAGGGGTTTAGGGTTGAGGGTTGGGGCTTAGGGTTTAGGGTTGAGGGTTTAGGGAGAAAAAATCCGACACCCGCAACCCTGGATCCTAGATGCTAAACCCTA